AGTTAGGTCCTCAACTATTGTAATTTTTGAACCCTTAAGTTTTCTCTTATTCCGCATTACAAGCTTTCGATCTCTATAACTAACAAATCTAACTATTAAGCTCTGCACGCCGTTATTCGGTCTTCCAATTGGGTGACAACGATCTATCGCATCCTCTCGCATCTTAATGTCCAGCTTTTCACGAAATAAATCCAAGACGCGCTCTTCGACTCGTTCCGGATCGCATTTCTTAAGCCCGATGATACGCACGCTCGTACGCCGCGAATACTGCTCCAGCGCATCGCACTTGTCCGACAATTTGCGGTTCTTCTCTTCGAGGTCGCTTACTCTCTCTTCCAAGGACTGGATTTTTTCCTCAAAAACGCGGTCCACCTCCTTCGCAATGGTTTCTCGCAAAACTTTGATAAATTCGTTGTCTTTTACTATGTCAATGATACAGGATTTCACTAACTCACGGCGCTCAGCAGCAAGACGCGTTTTCTCCGTCATTTTAACAAAGATTTAATAAAATTCGCTGATAGACAACTAAATATATAATCGAAAATACGGAGCAGGGTGTACGCGTGCTTATTCGCTGAACATCTGTTATCAACTCGCATATACTAGCTATATACTAGCTGTAGCCTTACAAAAAACGGATGACGAAGTTTATAAAATAGGAACAAAGCAGGGTGTTGTAAAGAAAAGGTATTCAAGATAGCAGTTTACAGTTTGTCGTCAAGAACTACTTAAAAAAAAAGATGTCCCTAATTAAGAAATGACGGTCCGTACAGTTGCGAATCTGCAATCTACGGGGACAGATCAGGGATTTATTAAATGTAGTTGCAAAAAACACTGTGATACTAAAAAGTGTTCATGTCTTAAAAGTAAGATTTTATGCACTCCAAAGTGTCATAATAGTTCCGCGTGTAAGAATAAATAAATATATTTTTTTACTTACTCAGTTCTACGTTTTGTTTTTACACAATTATTTTGTTTCCTAAGTTTTTAATACTTATTACTTATAAGCAAATAACATTATGTTAGTGATCCCAGAAAAATTTTAAGTTTAATGTCATTTAATTGTGATTTTACTATAGTTACAGAAAGGTACTAGGTGCCTCCTTTGTACAATAACTTATAGATTATAAAAAAGTTTATTATGTGTAAAAATGGATAAATACAGACCAAAATCTATTTATTTTACACATTGCCAGTCGACCAACAGGTACTCTATGTAATCCCTAGGAATTGTATACATTACCTAGGTAAAGTATCTAATGGACAATAATCTTCATAATATTTCATACATTGCCTAGACACCCCAGGTATTTCATAGATTACCTAGGCATTGTATAGAATACCTGAATTATACAGATTGACGGTAACATATCTATTTCATTGGGAGTAAGATATTTTATTTTAAATCAGGGATTGAGCAAAATTTATGTAATAAGTGTAGGATGGCCTTTTACATATGCAAATCGTTTGTTTAAAAACAATGCAATTGCTTCGTCATGTTTTTCACCTCTGCGTAATCATAATAACAAAATCGGGATAATACGCATACTGATTTTGTTATTTGTCAAAAAACAACTCTAATGTCGCTTCATAAAACAACTTTAAAACGTTCGTAATATTTTTTATAAGATCCCAATCACTAGGTGATAAAGTTTATACCAATCGTTGCACCATTTGATACATACTTTGCCACCGTACTTCTATGTCCCGTAGTAAAGAGTGAGTGGGAAGTCTGTATTGATTTTCACAGTCAAATTTGTGGCCGCTTGCTTACTCCTTCGAAAGTGAAGAACTATTTTTCTGCACTTTTTTATCTATTTTTTTATCTATTTAGTGTTTTTGTCGATTATTCTTTTTTACATCGCCCTAGAGGTGCTTAATTGGATTTAAATCCGAGAATTAACATTTTTTTCATAAAACAAGGCCGTAGCTGCCTTGACATATGCTTGGGGTCGTTTCTTGCTGAAACCTCCACCGCAGCGACATATTATATTCAACCTAGGGTAACATGGTGTTTTTCAATACGTTCGTGTATCATCTTAGCTTTAAAAACAAGATTTAAAAACATTCCTAAACAATAATATTTCCTCCACCATGTTTAATTGTTTTCCTGGTATATCTAGAATTGAATTTTTTGTCTGGCAGACGCCTTACGAACCCATTTACCCACATTACATGTTTCACCATTTTTCGACGGTTCTGCTCCATGTTTGCGTGCAAATTGTAGTTGTTGACTTCTAGCAGGTAAATTTGTTTCTTAAAGACGTTTTTTAATCGTCGACGTATCAATGTTGAATTTCAATGCATAGTTGTATGTTGTATCGGCTTCAGTATTTTCTTTTTCCATATATCCTACGTTTCAGTATATTCATGTTTCTGCCGCATATGTTAAAACTGATTTTATTAGTACTTTGTGAGTCCCATCTCTTTCGTACCTTCTTCCATATTTCTGAACACTTCAATCATTTCCTCCCTCGTACGAATCATAATCAGTATATGCAACTGTATAATATGCGATTTGGTTAGTATACTTAGTCCTTTGTCAAAATCACCAATCGTCGAGTGCAGTGCCAAGTTGAATTTTAGTACCGTTGAACAATTTGGAATTATCATGATATATCATTACCTTTGCTGCCAGTACTGGTGAGTTGCACCTAACGGATATTCCCATCAGTTGCAGCTCTCCTTCAAGTTTCTTCCTGTTTGTGCTGTCCTAAAAACCTTCTTAAAATCAATGAATAGGCAGTGTACGTTTATGCTATGCTCAAATCGGTTCTCTAAGGTCTGCCTAACTAGGAAAATTTGGTCTATTGTAGTCCTATTGTCTCTGAAGCCACACTAGTATTCTCTCTGTATTGTCTCCGCGTTCTCCTACATTGAGGAGGGTTATGCCTCTGTAATAATCATATACATATTTGTCTTCTTTCTTATGTAGTAGTACGATTATTCCCATCTACCATTTCTCGGGAATCCTTTCTTCCCCTCAGCAGGTTGTTATTAGTTCATGGAGTCTTCTTTCTGTTACATTTCCACCAATTTTTAGCAGCTCAGCAGTAATGTGATCTTCTCCTGGGGCCTTGTTGTTTTCATCTTTGCTATGGCTTGCTCAACTTCTTCCACCATTGCGTCTTCTATCATAATTTACATCGTGCTCACTCTTTTTACATTTGCTCCCTCTCTTGCTCCTTATTTGGCACGATAAGTAATTCATTAAAATGTTACTTCCATCTCTCCATTGTCTCTTCTCTTTCAGTTAGTACTCCTCCTTTTTTGCTTCTACACACGCTGCTTTTGGGTTGATTTTCATGGTTTTAATTGTCCTGTAGGAGTCCGCCACTTTCCTCTGTATATTCTCCACTTTTCCTCTAATATACTCCCTTTTCTTAGATTTGCATATTCTTGTTGCCTTTCCATGACTGAACATTACAGAGAATATTTTCAAGGCGGCATTGTGATTCTTCGATTCTTCTGCACAATTTTCGAAGTCGTGGCGGTCACCGAAGTCAAGTCATCACCGAAGCAATGAAATGACTGTGACCGTCGATTTTTGCAGTATCGATCATCTGCTGACTCTTCTTGAGTAGTTGACCTCATTTCTGATGGTTGCGGAACAGCTCGATCGTGAAAATCTTCTCATCAATGAAGAAAAATTTTGATAAACGAGCACCATCGATCAAGTGAATCATTCGGCGAGAAATTTCCAATCTTTTCATTTTCATTGTATCGTTAAGGAAGTACACACGACCGATCTTGTAATTTCAAAACTTTAGCTTTCTTCTGACTACCGATAACACCATTGCTATTTTCCTGATCGAACGCTCCGGGTTGTGTTGAACCCGACAAAGAATCTTCTGCACAATTTTCGAAGTCGTGGCGGTTAAACAACTCGTTGTTGATAGCTGATGGCGTTGATCTTGACATTCCGAGCAATGAACAGCAACGAAGTTTTCCCGATATCGCAAATGCCGACCCAAGCCGTCATAGAAGCAAGAAAATGGCTGTGACCATTGATTTTTGCAGTATCGGTCATCTGCTGACTCTTCTTGAGTAGTTGACGTTACTTCTGATGGTTGCGGGCCAACTCGATTGTGAAAATCTTCTCATCAGTGAAGAAAACTTTTGATAAACGAGCACCAACGATTAGGTGAATCATTCGGCGAGAATTTTCCAATCTTTTCATCTTCATTGTATCGTTAAGGAAGTAGAGATGACCGATCTTGTAACTTCAAAACTATAACTTTCTTCTGACTACCGATAGTGACACCAAACACCATTGCCATTTTCCTGATCGAACGCTCCGGGTTGTGTTGAACCCGACAACGAATCTTATGCACAATTTTCGAAGTCGTGGCGGTGCTTGGGCGACGTCTCCGAGGACTGTTCGTGGTTCCTGTAGTTTCTAACGTCTAAAAAAGAAGATATAGGAACTTTTTGAACACCTATAGGTGGTTCAGCAATAATGCTCTGATAGCAAAGATTTTGGCCGACAATTTGATGTTATTTAACATTTGTTAAACTAACATCTCACATTTTAAGAATACATAATTTATATTATAATTTTGAAATATTAATCATTTGTTCATTTATGTTTGTATTTATGAATTATGTTTTGTAAATATATAATTCTACGAAATACAGGATGTTTCACTTAAAACTTCCAGGCCAAGTATCTCTGGAATGGGTTGAGAAATTGGAGTTTTGTAAGAAGTTGTTGCTAAAGTTCGTAAATAACTTCACTTCTTAAGTATTGTTATTTTTCATTGTATAAAAATAAAGGTCAATAGAAACTTTCCCTTCAACACTAAGTTTTTATTAGGTTGATTTGAAAAACTTGATAGTTGTTGCTGAAACTATCAAGTTTTTCAAATTCTCTTCTTCTTAATTATAACAAGAACTCCTTACAAAGCTAAGATATCTCAACCCATTCCAGATGTACTTGACCTGAGAGTTTTAAGTGAAACACCTTGTATATATTAATTTTTTTTTCTTCTTCAAATTAGTTTATTGATGCCGGTCATTTTTGGGCTCACAACGTTGACAATCAAACCGCTGCTGAATTACAAAATATTCACAAGTTATTAAATGAAATGGAATTGGAACCGATTACAAATAAATCCCAATTAAATACCACAGATCTTTTTGCTTGTCAATATGACGACGAATGTTTTTATCGTTGTCGAATAACTTCTAATACTTATTACTTAAACGATTCGAATAATAACATCCAAGTTCTATTCGTCGATTACGGCGATATACGTTTAGTTAATTGGAATAAATTACGTTTTCTGCCTTTTGATGCAAAAACACAACCTCCTCAAGCGATGGAATGTATTTTAGCAGGAATCCAGCCATCGATTATTCTGAGTCCACGCGCTGTTTGGTCGACTCGTGCGAATCAAGCTTCTGAAAGATTTTTAAAAGATGTTGAGGTTTATGCAAAGGTTTATTCGGTTGTTAGCGGTATTGTTCACTTGGAGTTGTACAGAAATTTACCGAATGAAGACAACATTGGAAGTTCATTTAACGATTGGTTAATTCGCAATCATTACGCTATGAAGGCTGAAGAAAGTTATTTATCGAAAGAAAATCATGCGAAACGCGAGTTAATGCAAAAAGAAGATAATTGCTATCATTTTGAGGAACCGATTTACGAAGAAGCTCAAGTTATAGATGTTGAACCACCACCTTTGGCTAATTGTACAAGACATTTTCAATTAAGAGGTCCATTTAGTCCTTTAGAATATACAATCTATCCGATGTGTCGAGATAGTAGAGAAAACATAACAATTGAAGGTTCTTCTGTAAATTCTGTAATGTTAGACACAGATCCCCAAGACGTTCACGATAGATTAATCGTTTCTGTTGCGGTTGGTGAAAATACTACATCGACAAATTTAAGTTTACGTCACACCACGATTATGCCAAACATTTTGGGATTTCCTATGTTAATGGCTGTTTTATTCTGCCCAAAAATGGAACCAAAACCATGCAATGATGGTACGCAATTTGGCGCTGTTTTGTGTGGTTTAGGAGCTAACAAGTTGAGTGGTAAAGCCTTATTTCCCGAACACGACATAGAGGTTATTTTAGACGCAGAATTATCTCAAGATTTATTAACTGAGATCAACGAAATGAGATATTGGATGAATATGGCTGTTAAAACTATTGAATCGATTGGTAAAAAAATGCCACCATCTGTTGATATTATTCTTTGCCAACGTAATTTAAAATCTAAATTAGAAAAGTAATTAGTTATTTATTTATTTTAATTGTTTAATTTAATAAATTTTATTTTTAAAGTATTTTGAAACATCCGAAAGAAGCAATTGTTCAAAAACCGATAACTCATTCAAAAGAGTGGGGTAAATTCTCGTATACAGGTGAAATTTTAGAGGTTAGCGCTAAAAATTTGCTTCATAATGATATCTGGCCAATGCACTGGACGATGGAGCTCAAAGATATGGATAAAAAGAATGTGGAAGTTTCGCAAAATATTGAAGATCTTAAAAGTTTTGCTAAAGGGTAACTATACAAATTTTCACTTAATTAAAAAAAAAATAATGTTATTTTAGATATATCACCCCAAAAGAAATCGAATGTCAAGCTTGTGGTGTTATTATGTATAGTAGTCCGGAAGTTGGAATGCATCTCATTTCCGAATCTCACGGAAAAATTATTAAACGATTAGGTTTATAAAATCATTGACGATTCAAAAAATTTTATTTTTATTATTTAGTTTTTTAATTAAGTTTTGTTTTTAATGTAATGAATGTTACTTTAACTCTCTTTTTTAATACCATAAACGTTCTTTGTTTCTTTACATAAAATATTTTTTTGTACTTTTAAATAAAAATAAAGCGTTAGTAATATAAATTTGTCTTTTTGACTTTTCCTAAAATCCCCATCATTTAAATAAATGAAGATATCTAATATAAAATCTATTATTTTATTAAGTAATAATTTTTTGGTATTTACCAAAAAAACTTAAATACTAATCAAACAATAATTGATGAAGCACTTGAAGATATCGTATCAGAATTGAAAGATGTTACAAAACGATTGGGAAAATAATTGAAAACAATGTGTAGGTTTTGGGAAAAATAAACGTTATGACTATGAATTTTTATGATATTAATAAAAAGATTATGGTTTTGGAATATTATTTTAGTACTTTAGAATTGGATTATTCATCAAATTATTAGTGAGAATATGCAAAATTGCGATAAACCATTATGAATTAAAATCAATTTTAAAGACTTTTGTACTTTGTTCTGATCATGGAACAGTTTAAAATTATAATTTCGATTATTCTTCAATATATTTATTAAAATTTGTTTATCAGAAAATTCAATTCCAAAATACATGAAATATACATAAATTAGCACAACACAACCATTTTACTATCGAAATACATCCGCAGATCTTATAACCATATTTATTTATTTCACTATTTGGGATACATACTGATAATCCCCACAACAGTATCCTCTAAAATATAAAAACATAATTAAAAAAAATAAATAAAAAAGAACTCAATTACAATTTAAGCAACTAAAAGATAACAGGAATGATATTTAAAATAAATTACAAAATAAAAAGTATTATTGACACACGTTCAATTTACAAATAGCATTCCGAAAACTACTAAAAGATAAAACAAAAATGTCCACATCAGGACAATAACGATTATACGTATTCATAATACGAAGTAACGGCGAATTAAAGTACGCATTAGTGCTAGAAGTGGGCAATCTAAATAAACACTGATCTCGAGCAAAATAGCTGGGCACAGCGAATGAAATATGATTCATAAGTTCGGGCCAGTTCGGGCGAGTCAAGCAAACCATTGATCAATTTATACAAGAACCAACCGTTCGCAAACCAAAGACGGTGCACCTCTGCTCATAGGAACAGTACGGTAAGTTAAATTTGTGAGCCAAATATCGAGCAAATCTTTTCTGCAATCCCTCAAGGCGGTCAATATACACAGCATATACAGAATTCCAGACAACCGATGCATAATTTAGAACACTATTTACATAGGCCATGTATAAGGACCTTATACATTGTAGGTTAGTAAAATGTCTGGAGATTCTAATGGTGTAACCTAAAATCCTATTAGCCTTAGAGAATAATTCTTCCGAATGATTCGTGAAAAGCAATTTAGAATCGAAAACGATACCCAGATCCTTTACACTAGAAGTAATTCTCAAGTACTCCGATCCAAGTCTGTAATCTGCCTACGGTGTATCTTTTTCTGCAGAAGGTAATATGTATGCATTTGTCATAATTTAGATAAAAAAAATTGTTTGTGCAGTAATTTTACAAACGATTAAGATCATCTTGAAGTTTTACACAAACAGAAGTTGATTGAACTTTAGTAACTATTTTGCAGTCATCAGCGTAAAGCAAAAATTCACTGTGATGAAAACATTCGTAAATATCGTTAATGTAGGCTAGGAATAAAACTGGACCCAAGTGACTTCCTTGAGGTACACGAGAAGTAACTAAGGCGAAGTTAGAACTATAATTATTTATTTTTACAGCTTGACATCTATCGAAAATATAAGAAGCCAACCACGATAGCAGCCAATTTGACAAATTAAACCCTTCTAATTTAGATAGGAGTGTTGCATGATTCAATTTGTCAAACGCTTTACAGAAATCCGTATAAATGGAATCTGTCTGACAGTTTTCGTTCATACATGATTGAATGAAGTTGATGTAAGACACCAGATTAGTATCAACCGAACGGCCACGGAGAAAGGTTGCTGAATCAGAGAAGGTTGTATCGCACGGTATAAATTATCATATATAATTTTTTCGAATACTTTAGATATTATCGATAAAATAGAAATAGGGCGATAGTTCGAAACGATATTTCTATTCTTCTATTCAGAGGGGAAAATTCATTGTGAGAGAGAACGGTAGAAAATAATGAAAAGTGGTTTAGCAAGCTCTGACGCACATGTTTTAATGAAAATACCCGGTAATCCATCGGAACCCGGTCCCAAGTTGCTATCAACGGAAGTAAGACCATCCAAAACATCATCAACTGAGAACCAGTGGCAAAAGTTATTTAATATACTTTGACGTGCTTGTTGCAGATTTTTACTATCAATAAAAACCGAACTAAAATATTTAGAGAATAACTCCACAATCTGGTGACCCTCAGTTGCGGACTCACCATTATATACCATACAAGCCAGTACACCGCCACTGCCACGTTTTCTATTAGCTGCATATGACCAAAGATGAGCCGGATGATTAATTAAGTCAGATTGTACATTAGTTAAATAGATAGACATAGAAATCAAAAATTACCATTATTAATTAGATTTTATAAATAGAAAGATTAGTTACATTTACAACATACTAATAAAGATTAAATATTTTATTGAATTACAACCGTCTTTTAGCACCAATATGGCACTGAAACTGATCATTAACAGGACGTACCATCAATTTTTATAATTCTTATGATAATTTACAATCACAAAGACTTGTCCATTGACTGATCATCAAGAAGCAGTATGAAAAATATTTTTTAAGGGATGAGGACATTAGGACTCAAACAGAAATCAGGAGAGAGAGCTAGAGTGAATGAGGAGAAGTTGAATTGTGTGACAGGGGATATGGGAGAAGGCAAAGTATCGGGATGTGATCAAGGAGTGGTTAATTCAGAGGTGTTTTTCCGTAGGTGTGAAAAATTGTATGAGACCGATGTGATGCCTCGCATCGACTGTGCGCAAGGTGTTGAATAGGGTGCTTGCGTTTAGGGTAATGAGTTTTGTGGAGAGAATGGGTGTGCTAGATGATAAACAATATAAGTTCAGAAAAGGAAGAGACACGATCCAGGCTCTGGATGGGTTAGTGCAGGGTATGTTGAGGTGTAAAGAGAATAAATGGCATGGAGTTAGTATGAATCACAAAACAAAAATCAAAATACGAGGGACGGCACACGTTCTACAGGTCATCAAAGATATTATTCAAAAATTCCGCCACGCTATAGAAGGCTTTCTCTGACAAATAATTCCTAATTTTGCGTTTAAACAGATTTGTTTCTAACACAACGACACGATCTGGCAAGACATTATAAAATTTTATGTCCAGGTAATTAACGCCGTCCCTCGTCCTCGCCGTTCGAAAATACTTTAAAGCTAATTTTGGACCCGCCCTCGTACTATAGTTATGGCCAGAACTAACCGTTTTATATTGGGTGATGCTATTTTTAATGTAGAGATGGCAGTGGAAGAAGTAAAGGCATGGAATTGTTAACAGTCCAAATTTAATAAATTTAGTGCTACAGCAATCCTAGAATCTCAAGTTTGCCATCACTCTGACGCATCTTCTCTGGGCTCCAAAAACTCGATCAGTATGGGCAGAATGACCCCAAGCTAATAAGGTGTAGGTGGCATGACTAAAGAAATATCTATAAATGTGAAACATGTGATTCCCATGTAAGGCCCGAGTCAAGGTAGATTCCCAGATATTCAACAGGTGTCGTGCAAGTATCTAGACGTCTAAGGGAAAAATTTAAGGTTTGCGTTTTGGCTTCGTTCATGCGGAGTCCTTTTTTTTAAACCAGTTCGTGATGATCGCGCGTGAATCCATCATACGATGATGCAATGTAACGACATCATTCGCGCAAGCCGTGGCTACTGTATCATCAGTCATCAGCAAAGAGAATTATACTTGAATACCTCGGAATGATTTTGGGCAGGTCATTGACGAAAATTAAAATTAGAAGTAGACCCAGCACTGAGGAGACATATTGAAGTCTATCAGTCAAGTACGACTCTATAAGCTTGACACTATCCGCCTTTATATTAAATGTGCTTAGTTTGTTAATAAGTAAATCATGAGACACGCAGTCAAACGCCTTCGTTAGATCGTAAAATGCTGCTTGTAAATAATTATTGGCTTCAAAACAATCTTAAGTAATCGTCGTTGATTTTTTCCTTCTGAAGCCAAACTGCCCCGAATTTAAAATATTGTTTGACTCAATATGAGAGAGCAACTGCTTATTTTGCATCATTTCAAAGATTTTTCCAAAAATAGGCAAAATAGATATTGGCCTCTAGCTAAAAGGTTCATTTTGTGGGCCTTTTTTGTGTATAGGGACAACTTTAGCTATTTTCAGACAGTCGGGGAATAAGGACGCAGATATGCATTCATTAATTAGTTTACACAAGGAATAAATGATTATATTTAAAACTGTTTTAATTAATCCCTGCACGAAGACTTCTTCAATTTGGAAACCACTTCGCGTAATTCATTAAAAATTATTGGGTTAAACCCAAAGCTCTCAACATTAGAAGCATCATAGTTACTATTACTAACAGGTGAATTTGGATGAAGATTAGAGGAATTCAGCGATGATATTTTCAGCCACATCGGCAAAATATGTGTTCAATTCTGTGGCAGTCAACATGTTGGTGGAGCGGTCATAAATTAAAGGATTGTTGCCTTGAATAATTTCTCACATTGCACGTTGTTTGTTGCTAGAGTTTTTTATGTGGTTAGCATTTGCGTCTTTCTTCGCTTTAATGATTAGGTTGCGATAGAATCGTCTAAACTATCTTATTTGCACTGTGGATATCAAATCCGGATGCTGTCTATTTATGTCAACCAGCAGAACATCCCTGGCTAGCTTAACGTTATTAGTGAAGCAAGAAACTTTTTTCTCATTGCCCACCTTGCAATTGAGAACTCTGATTTTTTCTTTAAAGCAAAAGTGGAGGGCAGAAACAATGTGATTTATAAATAAGGAAAATTTTTCGTTTGCATTGAAATGAGTGTCATCAATAAAGCCAAAGTCAACCAGGTCAAAAGTGTTATAGAGTTGTATAAGAAACTCGGGTTCTACAACGTGGGGTCACGTCCGATAAATTACATTGAAAAGAGACTGAAACCGTAAATAGGTTACTATTCATGTTAGTAAATACATTATCCAAACAAGAACCCTCACGTGTGCACTGATCAACACAACTGCTCAACCTATAAGATTCGTAGAGGCCGCACAATAAGCGTGCCTCCTTACTATCACGCTCGAAACGAACATTAAAATCACCAGTAATTATAACAAATTTGCTGTAGCTTAGATTAGACAGTACATCATTCATTCTGTTTAAAAATATTTGAAAATTACCAAGGGGTGAACGATATACTGTTAGAAATTGTACCGTTTGGTAGTTAATTTCCACTATTTCAAAATCAACCTCACTCAAAAGATCAACTATATCAAACGGTAAGTTTTGTTAAGGTTGGGAGGTATATGGATGAACAGAACGATCTGGTACAGGCAGATGCCAATAATCAGATCGTTTTGGTTTCGGATGTGTCAGTTAAGAAGATCGAGCGAAGGTGGGAGTCGTGCGAGGAGTTTGCTGAAGGTTAGGTACTTCGGGGTAACATATATGAGGGGTAAGGTTGCAAGTATGCTGGGAAGGCTTGCGATAGTTGCGGACAAGGAGTGGGGTGTGAGGAGAGCGTTAGTAGAAAGAGTAATCGAGGAACCGGGTCGAGTTTCAGCTTGAATTTTGGAGCTTGAACGGATGCGATGCATATTGTGTCGGAGATTCTGCCTGGATTCGTCTTGGCGAAATATGCCCAGAGAAGGTGGTCGAAGCAGGAATGTGGTAAATGAGAAAGGAAATGTATGGAATATAGTAGCAAGTGAAATTCTAGGGAGCGTAGATATATTACGGTCACGGAGGATAGTGATGACAGGGTTGACGATTATACGGTTGGGATGATAGGGGAACAGCACGTTTGTGTAGGATTTGAGAATGGATAAGAGAAAAAGTGTGGAGATGAATGAGATTATGACAATATTTGAGAGTACAAAGAAAATGGACAGAATAGTGAAATAAGGGTGGAAAGGCAGGGGAAGTAAGGATGAGAAGTGTGAATAAGTTCGTCAGCTCAGTTGTAGTGGAAGATGTTAAGGAGGTTTGGAAGAAGAGATGGATGTAGTCGGATAAGTAGGGAGGTGTATACATTTATTATGGGTGGAGACACCATTTAATGTTTATCTTAGGAGGTTTAAATTGGTACGAATGAAAAAGTACGAGTTGTTTGAATATTTTGCCTGTGATTAGATCATCTCTAGGAACGTTTTTAGGATTCAAGTTGTTTAAAGTGCTCTCGTCGTTTAATTTTAATAACTATTTGGCTACCAGAAAAAAAGATAAAAGATGAGACAAGAAACCCTTCTAAATTCCACCAGACTAGAACCAGACTTCATACTGAGGATGTACACTTCCGAGCATTGTAAGGATAACATATTAAGAGAGAAGAAAACCAGTCTACATTATTAGGATCTAGCCTGAAGTTAGAGATATCGGTGTTTTCACAATATATAAATATTTGCGAAAAGTACTTTACAAATGAGATGAGCTGGGGAAAAATACAACTTCTACGTCAATTAGAAGAGTAGATGATAGTGGAGGAGCCGATGAGTTGATAGTCAACTCTATAGATTTATTAATTAGTTTCCATCCACCAAAACAAATTTAATATAGATTGAAAAATGAAAGTTTAGACATAATTTCTTAATTTCCATAAACATAGTTGTTTTTACTTTTAAAACCCATTTGATTATTGTAGATTAAAAGTATGAAATTAAAAAAAAATCGTATCTCAACAACGAATTAAGAAATCATCATGAAATAAATAGCAATTTAAAGTAAATTTATTTAATATTCAACGTTTTGAACATCACTTCTTCAAATCTACAAATTTCAGATTTATGAATTTTTGAACGCAACCTTGCATAATCTTAAACATAAATGTTAGGGCAATTAATCTTTAAGTATCTCAAAAACTAAATGAGATCTCGTTATGAAATGAAAAGCAATTTGAAGCAACTTTAATGGAGATTTAATCACACAAATAATTTCTTATTTTCAATAATCATCGTTATTATGATTGTTTAAATCCAACTCTGCATGTTTGATTGTTATAAATATAAAGTATAAAGTTAGAAAAAGTCGTATCTCAAGAACGAATTGAGATATCATCATGAAATGAAGGACATTTTAAAGCATCTTTACTTAAGATTCAACATTTCGAACATCATTTCTTCATATCTTTAAATATCAGATTTATGAATTTTTAAATCCAACTGTGCAGGTTACTCTATAATACGTTCAGAGACACGATTATCTGAACACACGCCACATTAACTTGAATGAAACGGCGCACAAAATGAATTATTAACGTAGATGATTTCATCATCATCGTTTAAGTTTACAAACAAAGCCCCGATCTTAATCATCATTTTATTATTAATTACAATAAGTTTACTAAGCCTTTATCTTATCTTATTTTTATCTAAAAAATACTTAAACATTAACACGTTCCATTCTCATGAATTAACCTGTTTTTGTAAGCTGAGTAAGTATTAAACTAAAGTATTAATTGTAAAACCAACATTTTTTATTTAAATTTTTAGTGCGTAAAGAAATAAATATGTCTTTAAATGAAAATCTTGATTCAGAATCGAAAGTAATTAACAACGAAGTTGAAAAACGACAAACGAAATGGTTTTATGATGGTGACGATGTTACTGATGGTAAAATCAAAGAAAGTCGTATAAAATCTTCTTCATTTCGTCATATGACACATATAAGTTGGAAAGATGATGGAAGTTTAGAAATTAGCACAAACGATCGAGAAATGGCCGAAGTGTTTCGAAAAATTGGCGACAATTTATGTTTGCAAGGAGACAGAGACGTAAAAGAAGTTATCTTTGATTATGTAGTGAATTCGATGCGTTCTGAAGAAGTTGATGAAAATAATTTAGAAATTGATTTAGAAAAAGATCATGAATTATGTAACAAAATTGTAGGAGATAATACGAAAGATGAGGGCGTTTATGAAAATAGTATTGGAAATGAAATGTTAGATGAGAATGAATTGGAAAGAGTTAAAATTGGAAATATTGGAAAACCGTATAATTTTCAACATGTTACACATTGTAGTTTTGATAGAAATAGTGGTTTTAACGTTGTTACGAACGACAGGAAGTTATCTTGGTTTTATAATAGGAAAGAGAAGAAGAAAGAAAGTAAAAAGTGAAGTATTAAGAAGATTAAAGATTTATTTTTATTATTTTATATTGGGATTATTAAGAACTTCTTGGAATTTCATAGAATTTTTTTATCGAACTTTAAGGAATTTGGTTATCACTATTTCCTTCAAGCTTATAGTTTAATTTTTCTGTAATATAATACCACAAATTAATCAAAAAGTCAATTTGATTAAAAATTGGGTATTGAAACCTGTGTAAACTAATTTTTCAATATTAATAGACTAGTTTTAAAATATATCTGGTAAAACAATCAATAAATAAATAATGATAATAAATAAGATAAAATGCAAAGTATCTCGAGTGACTCCTCTCAATTCCTGAAAATTCAAATTTAAATATTTTATATGATTCATATTTAATATTTTTGTAAACTGTTTGTGAAAGCAGGATTTCCTGTATAAGATTTCTCTTTCGTTTCGGAGTACCTGCTTTTCAGTGAATTATATGTAACAAAAAATCGAATAAAAGCGTTGTATTAATCTTTAAGCGTTTAATTTCATTCTCTTAATTATAATTGTGCAACAGCCATTCTGGGGGGTGAAAAATTCCAAGTCAGGGTGAAAGTACTAGGCCAGTATAGTAAAACCTTCAAAGGGTTTGGCGTTCTCAGCCCAACCTTTTTTTTTATGACCTTTTATATTCTTTCCTTATCTTGATGTTTGTTTGTTTAGTTTTTCAGTTATAACACAAAAACCATTGATGATTTCTCATTTCATTCTTCAGCAAAATTGTAGCTAAAGTTTAAATAAATAATTTTTATTAATATATCTATGTACAAAATTAAGTTTGATCAAATGAAATCTTCAAAAAATTGTCAACTTATTAAAAAAAAAAACAAATCCTCTTTGAAATATAAACTCGTCTTTACTCGAGTTCTACGAATTGTAACTATAAAAAAAGTATTGATTTTATGGAAATTATTAACAAAAATTAAGGAAAAACAAAGTTTAAAAAGAACAAAGTTGCTGGCCCTACTGCACCTTCTGAAAATTCTTTGTTGCCAATTGTCTGCTGAAGTAGTACAGATGATGTAAATAATGAATTTTCAAAGACATGTGGATGTTACATCCTTGCGACTGAATCATCGTAGTTGCTAGAACGATGCTCCATCAATTTTCCTACATCCGAGCAATTTGCAGAAGTTTTTTCATCAATCACAACGAATAAACTTTGGAGTGTTGCCTGACGACTTCGATAAGCTGTGTATCTTTTGTACCGGGTGCCAAAAGATTGTTTAATTTCAAAAACGAGCCAGCTATTCTGATTTAAGCTGTGTCAGTTCCAACTTGGCAACAATTGAATCAAGCTGATTTTGATTTATTATAATGAGCTGATTGGATACAGATGGTTCGGGATTATATGGAGGATCATCACTTGAATTATATGTTGGTATAAAAATCTTAGCCAGCATAGAAGTTAGAACATCTGAGCTGCAACATTTTGGCATAGGAATATAGCCCTAATGAGGTCTTTGGCCACTTGCAACACCAATGTAATTATACGATTTTCTTACCGTTTTTCTCAATGCGGCTCCTTTATTCGTACATGCGTAGCAATTCAATGGATTGTGACCGTCGCCAGGATTAGTCCAAATTATTGGGAAACCGAATGGCATAGATTCACATCTTCTATTTTTCCATTAGACGATTGTAACACACTATAACATTTTGGTTAAAGCACATCTCGTATGTTTGAACAAAATCTGCATTGAATATTCCTTTTTTTTTCATGTTTTGGTACATATTTACCACAGCAATATATCATATTTTTCGGAATGATGTAATGTCAATGTGGTGTTCAATATATACTTTCTTCTCCTATGATTGAAAACAAATTGTACGAAGTAAATAGAAGGTTTGTGTTAGTCATGGGATTATTAAGAGTTGCCAGAGAGGGCTTAAATTTATTCTGTGGGCTCATGGATTTATCGCAAGGGTTTAGTTCGACATTATACTATGCTGCTTTAGAAAATATAGGCATAGGATCCAAAATATTGAAAACGGCAATTCAACATAGGTCACGTTGAGAAGCGCATGGGCGCACGATTGAGAAACGTGAAAAAACATAAAAAACTTGGTGGAAAGAATAAGTTGACAGATAGATTTACTATGGGTTAGCTATAAGGAGACATCCAAATTCTATTGAAACTACATATAATGCTGTATAGGTAAGCTACTACCATAATTTATCTTCAAACGAAAATCCGTAGCATACGTACTGCCCAGTCGGACCAGAGAGTTGGTGTAAATGGCGTAAAGCCGGTGCCAAGAGAAAACTGGATGAATTCGACCACGATCCGACACTTTATCCAGATGTTGCAACCACTATAAAGACAATATATGAAGACTTGTCATCAAAAAAATTGTTAGAAAGAAGTTTGGGTGGTGAAACTCTAAATAACAATGAAAGCTTCAATTTTACTGTTTAGCCCTCAAACATCTACATTGTGGCTTAATAACAGTTGAAATATCCGCTTATATAGCAGCCAGTATTTTTATTGAAGGCTGTTTCGCTATTTTAAAAGTAATGAGAGCAATGGGAATTAAAATGGTGAGCAGACTAAAATTTATGCCAACTCTCGGGATGAAAAGCGTTTGGAGCAATCGGTTCGGTGTAGCCTTCAAGCGACAAAAGAAGCTCGTACCCAACAAAGAATGAATTTGCAATTGCTTTTTATATCATGATAATGTCTCATTTAGTTTTTGAGATACCATTTTTTTAACATCTACCAAGCTGGGGTTAAAAAATCATAGCAACGATGTTTACAGAAAATAAAAAATACTTATGGCACATTAAATCTTCATAAAATTTGTTTTAAAGTTCGAGGCGCATCGTCTAAACTCTAACCTCTCAGCGCGATAACGGCGGTCGGAAAATAAAGGGTTTTGCCAGTGAGCAAGGCAAGAGAGACAATGCTACGAATCTTATGCGCTAGAAGAAAACAGAAGAAAAAACGTCATCTGGAGTTTGGGGTGGGGAATTTTAAACTTTTACATTAATTATTGCAAAAATTAAACAATTTTCGAACGTGAAAACGTTACTAACCCGTCTAATTTAATTTAGATTATACCAGGCAATTAGAAATAAATGCCTTTCCCTACGATTGGAAACCGATCTCTGTATCGATGAATAACTGATTCCCTTCAAAGGGAGCCTTGAGTGGACAAAGTGGACTATTCTTTGATATTATAATTTACCAAGGTTCAACAATAGAATTAATTCCTGAGAACACAGAAATTTTTGGTATCTCTGGTGCAATTGTAACGACATTGGCAAAACATATTAGGGAAGTCAATGTTCGTTTATATTATGACAACTTCTTCAGCAATTATAGTGTATTACAATATCTACGAAACAAACATATCTATGCATGTTGTACTGCTCAAATTGACAAATTTCAGACACCACCGTTCTCATTCGATAAGACTATGAAAAGTACGGAGAGTGGCTCCTTTGAAGAAATCCTTAGCAAAGATGTCATGACAAAGTATCGTATTAGACTTCGTATTATAGAGGTGTAGGAATACCAGATTCATTCACAAGTGATGGGATAAATCAGATAAAGAATATAAAGAAGTTCCGCGACCACAGATTGTAAAAGATTATCACAATGGCATGGGAGGTGTAGATAAATTAGATTTTCTGATCATACTGTATCGCACATTCATAAGATCACGAAAATGGACCATGCGTTTGTTTACCCATGCTATTGATATTGCCTGTACAAATGCTTGGCTGGAATGCAAAAAGCAAGCCAATGGTTTAGTTCTGCCTACAAACGATGTTCTGGATCTTCTTGGTTTTAGAGCGTATATTGCAGAAGGTCTTATAAAAGCCAATAAAATGCGGACGAAGAAAAATGGACGTCCATTTTCTGCTGCATTCTCAATCTCAGGAGATCGTCCGTCAATTTCAAGACGATATGCCGAAGTACGACCAATTTTAGAAGTTCGCTTTGACCAACTTGGACATTTTCCAAATGTTGTCCAAAAGAAATTTGCATCTAAATGTAAAAAAAATCCATGGTGTAAGGGGTAAACCAGAGTGGTGTGTATCAAGTGTAATGTACACTTGTGTTTACATATAGTATGTATGGTCTAGAAGGCCTAGGGGCCCTAGTAAGTACATCCTCCTAAGAGGTCTAAGATGATACGAGCGTATCTAGATTTTGGCTGATCCCGCTTCCTGACCGACCCCCCGACCTCACCGGGCGTGCAGTGCACAGGCCCAGTGCGGGTTCGCCCCTGTCAGGTGCCGCTCAACGATGCCACTCACTCGCTGACCCCCGCAAACCAAGGTGGAGAGCAAACCTGCTCATCAACCCTTGGTACGGTACGCTCCCACGAGGTGTAGCTTCAAGAGCGCTAACGCGCTTTCAGCCAAGTGTTCAAACCCCTTACACACATGAGTGATTACGACAACCAGAGATGAACGACTGGTTGCCGGGACCGACGGCTTAACGTCCCCTCCGAAGGACGGGTGGTGGCCGGCTTGGTGATAATATTTAAACCGGGGCTCGAACCCGGAACGTCTGCGTGTCAACTCAAGAGTTTAACCGCTGAGCCATCGCCCACCTGATTGTGTTTACATAAAGAAACAAACTTTAAAAAGTTACCATCAAAAATAAAATAAATTTATTTTAATAATTTAAGTGTTTATTTCAAGTTATTACTTAAAAAAATTTATGTAATGAACTTATTTACCTAATATACTGCTCAGTCATTCTCTATTCAATTGTATACCTTACTCATACACCTCTCAGTCACAATGTATTCAAATGAACACATGCCACAACTCAAACACACCATATTTAAAAAAGAATGTAAATACTACCAAAAATATGTAAAAAAATCACTCTGCTATAATGCCAAAAATGAGATTTTTCCGTGGTGACCGAAAGGGTTAAAAACCTTTCGATCACTTTCAAGGATACATCACTGTCACCTCCACAAAAAGAATCAATTATACTACTAAAAATGATTGAAAAGACCAAAAAATCATAGCTACCACCGCCAATAATAGTGGACAAAATAACCAAATTTCCTGAACTACACAAACTAGCTGAAAGAAATACTAATAAATTTAAAATAAAGGTACTAAGTGATACCACAGTAAAAAATTAACGTAGAAAACGACAAAGATTTTAGGGAAATTACCAGAAATTTAAGCGACAATAACTACTTGTGGAACACATAATATGAAAACAAGCAAAACCGGCCAATCAGAATTATGGTCAAAAACCTTCATCATACTACCAGCAAGCAAGCCATCATGAAGAACCTCACATACAAAGGCTACAACATATAGGATGTGA